GTGTGGTTTTTGGATGCAACCATAATAACCCTACCTTAACCTTAACGTGGCCGACACAGCGGCGGCGTCTCCTTCCGGTTCCTCTTCGTCCTCGCGGTGACTGCAGCTTTGGATTTTCGGAGTTTTAGACTTGCCGCAAAACGCGGACGGTACGTCGCTGTCGATTGGCAAACAGCAGACAAACGACTTGAATGACGACACCTCAACCACGACAGTCCACACTGGTGTCAACTGTAATAGCGATACTTTCTTCTTTTCCTCATATATTACGGACAAATTCGTTTTCGTCGGCTCCCGTTTGTCTCAAAATAGTCGCTCTTAGTGTTATTGTAGACGTCTGAACTATGAATGACATGGATTTTAATATTGTCCGACGACTTACACGAAAAATCCCCAAGACAACGGTTACCACGTCAGTTATTTCAAGCCAGGGAGTATCTACGTTTATCATATTATATTCTTATACAGCCAGCATTATAATTTCGGGCCCATTTATTTTACCAACCACCGTCATTATTATTATAATAATAATAATATCTGCGTATAGGTCTCTTATTTCATAACATCTTAACTTTATCGTTGATTTCAAATAATTTATAGTAATATTTAAATCATTCACAGTGTACAGTTCGATTCATTGATTTGTACTCTCGTTTAAGATTAAGAGTGAAGCGATGAATATAATTATTTTACAAAGATGTGTGTATTTGTTTTTGTTTGCAGGCATAACATATGTCACCTTGTGGCAAGCCTGGACATAAATGAGTTAAAAAGTTAAAATAGTTTTCATTATCTTAATATTTATTGGTATAAATTTAATAAATAATGATTTACTTTTAGTCAAATTGAAGTTACGTTAATTTACAAATAATTAAATAATAAATTGGTACCTATAATAAAATTATTATTGATGATGCATATTGCATACAAATCTAATAAAATAGGAATGTTGTTCCGTTAACCCAAATTGTTCAATAAAAATAACTTCATTGATTTTTTTAGAAAAATCTAAAAAAATTAAAAACACAGTTATTTTTTACAAACATTTTAATTTATGAACGAAATTAATTATTGAATATTTGTTGTAATTTAAAAATATTATTCGTGGGAACCTACTTGAAACTTTTAGAGTATATTATTATATTTTATGCACAAAATGACTTTTTAAATGTAATTTATTTGGCAAAAATGAATTTAACCTGCTGTAGTGCTCATTCCTAACAGTAAAATAAATTCCTTTAATCATAATAATATCATCAAATATATCAAGTAATATAGGCTAATAGAACGTCTTTGCTCAGAATCGTTTTTGGTGTACAATAATTTTATATCATTGAATTCAAATTTAACACTGTCCATTACAGCTGTGATGACCCACACTTGTAACCTACTGCAGGTACAGCAGAGCAACATCCACTTACCATATTTGAATAACTTTTTTTTTTATGTAGGTATTAGAAAAACAAAAAAAAAGACAGCTTAAGTTAATGTTGTTAGTTTCCATAAAACATTTAAATTGACTGAGTTAAAAAGAAAAATAGGATAACTATTAACTTTAATCTTTTTTAAATGTTTTTTATCAACTTATATTACCTCAATTAAAAATTATCATCAACTTGCCCTGGCTTTGGAGCAGTAAAAATACTTCTATTTTCTATTCAGCATATTTTGCGGCTGGAAAATATTTGGTACTTTGGAGGAGTCAAAAGTAAAAAATTACCATTAGTTTTCAAAACCACTTTTCAACAAAATCGATTTTGTTTTTGGTGTAACTCAATAATACAAAATAATCATAAATTGGTACTTGGCATTTTCACAGAATTTTTATATGTACCACCAATTTTTCAAAATATGTTAACTCTTTTTCTGTTATTTTTTGGCATAAACCATTTTCGACTTATATACGTTTTAAAATTAATGTTTATTAAATATGTTTTGCTTGGTCAAAAAATTTGAATTAAAATATAAGGTTCATCACAAGTAGTTGTTCATCATAGACAAAACGAAACGCGTTTACGCAGAATCATTTTTTATATGTTTTAGAATAACCTAAAAAACAATTACCTAAAATCGACGAAGAATAATATTTTTAAGGGAATGACATACCGATTTGTCTTAATATTTCCTCAAAATAATTTAAACATCATTTCAATTTTCCATTTTTTTTTTTCTAAGTCGAATAATAAGTCAAATAATAATAAAATATAAAACCGACATGTCACGCCCTCAAAAATATTATTATCTAAATTTTTGTAATGGATGATATTTCTGTAAGATTATATATTATAGGTATAAGGTCAATATAATATATTGATATATGTATAGTAAACATATACAACGACATATGTTATTACACCTACGTTAATTTTAATGTTAAAAGTTACTTTTATTTTTTTTAAACTTGTAAAACCTGTTTTTAAAGTTCCAAGATAACCGGAAAATTTAAGTAATTTGACACAGTTAAAAATCAGTTACTTTTTTCATTTAGAATTATATTTTTTTTAAATCCAATAATATCATAATAGTATAAAAGAGATCTTAACGCTTTAAATAAATTGCTATTAGTACTTATCCCCATAACTTTTCTACTTATAATATATATATTATGAATATGTTATATTATAATTTATAGATCATAACTATTATTTAAAACTATTATATTTAGAATTTATTTTATTCATAAATAATATTTGGTAGTTCCGATTATTATTATTTTATTTTTTATGAAATTAATTTTTACAAAATATGATTTATATATTAAATCTGTGGTTTTAAGAAAAAAAACAACTTAACATGACACATAAAAAATTAAAACTGAATAAATTAGAAGATACTTCTATTAAAAAAATAACTCGGTTTGTAGCTTGGTTAAAAGTAACTTAATTTTAACATTTGTACTTGTTAATATCGGATGAATGCCTTGGATTTAAAGCAATAATTTCGTGTAGGTATTTAATTAGTTGATTTTTTATAAATGGTATTGATTGCTCATTAGTCGTAAGTATAACAATAAATGCTCATAGAACACTGCTGTATAATAAAAAACAATAGTCAAATACATTTATGAAAACGTCTTAAATTTAACTAGTATGAAATCGTTTTTATGATCCTCGTCGAACTTCCACGGGCTTGAGTGACTGTTTTCAAAAAAAAAAAAAATACATAGTTTCATAATGTTCCACTCACTGATACACGACAATATTACTGAGTACTGAGTATCTATAATATATCGCTGAAAACTAAACTTTTTTAGTGATTTTTGAATATCGTATAGGCATGATAAAAATATTGGCTTTGAGTAAAAATGAGTGTTCATGCCGAATTTATAGACTCGACGCCATAAATCATGTCCTTACCGTATTATTTTAATCATGCAATAAGCTGAAGAGCAAGTAGACGCCTGACATCGCCAAAAACCTATCTTACCACACTAATACACATCCACACTATCCAATTCTCTTCGATCTCACCATATTATCAAGGTCCCGGCCAAGTGTGCCATGTTTAAGTAGTTGTGTTTAGGCAATTCCATCGTTCTTTGCGGCCACTTCTCGTCTTTGCAAGTATAGTAAATTACCATTAGTTTGTGCACACTTCCCACCAATAGCCAGCACAATACATATTACGCACCCGCATGCGCGTCGTCGTCGTGTATAATTCAGCCATTAGATCAAAATATTAAAAATAAATTTATTGACATGAAATAGTAATACGCTTGACAAAAATAAAATGTAAGTACTTCCTATGAGGTCTAATTTTAAAAACGCAAATGTGTTTGAATTCATAAACAAGATTACAATGCATAGGTTGAAGCACTTTCTCAGTGTTAGCAGATTCTTGACGGGAATAAAATTTTAATCTACATTTTATCAATTTTTCAATTTTTTTTGCTAAATATAATATAAAAAATATAATAATATACTATATACTCTGACTCTAACAGCTGCAAAGTAAACTTCTTAATCAAATCAAAAATCTTTGCATTTTTAAATTAAACCACTAGAATAGCCCCTTCATTTTTGTCATTCGCTAAGGTCGTTTTGATGAAAAATTGATATGGTTTACAAGGACATTAATCCTTATTATTATTATTAAAATTGTGTGTTTTTTGCATTTTAATACTGTATATCTTCGTGGTTCATGTTAATGAATTACTATCATTTTTTAAAACTACTTTTTTGATCTGTGCTGTCGTGTACATACTTATGCAGCTACCGTGTTGTTAATTTTTCATATTATTTTCATGTGAATTTTCTAGTCATTTATTACCTACTATTTCACAGTTCCGTGTGTCTTAGATTGTGTATTACAGCTGGAGTCTCGTGATGGTCAAAAATAAATAAATTCACTTTTGTTGATTTAAAAGCCAAAACTTGTGAAGCTGGAGTGTCTATAGTTATCGAAGTCATCTCTGGTAAAAATCGAACATGGTCGGAAATTCACCGACAGTGGATTAATTGGATACGTTCCACCGGTGCACGTGGTGTATTTTTTTTTTTTGCGATTCAAAAAGTGTAAAACGAAAGTTGAGTTCGAGTATGTCTAGTTATAAGTATCCCGTATGTTTAGGTCTACGGGGAAATCTAAAAATGTAAAACAATCAACATATATATGAATTCTATCGGAACTTATTCTAAGGATTTTTACCTACTGCCCAAACACACCGAAGTTTGTTTCATGAAATCTATTTGGAAAATTATACTTATCCCCCTCCTCCCCCCAAAAAATGTTATATTGATATTTGAGAATGTGGAAAAATATGTAAAAAATACGAATATTTTCCGTTGTACGTATACCATTATTTCAATTGAATTTCTTTAATTACGTAACCCCAGCTAATAACTGTATAAAATATAATATATGAATTGATTACGTACAAATAGTTTTAATAGCAAACATTTCGAGGCATAGGTATAGTGAGTAATGAGTATATTATAACTAAAACATGTCAATATTATACTTTTGTTTTTTATACTTATTAGATATTATTAATTACAATTTTACAATAGTACAATACAATTCAAATATCTAAATAATGAAAATTCTAGGACATCGTTTTGTAAGACCCGAGGATTCAACGATTGATCAAAAATGCCTTTAAACCAATCTTGTTCTCGTGCTTTGGAAGTTTCTTTTAACTATCGGTTTGATGAGTTTATCCATAACAAAGTTGCAGGTCTTGGATCCCATAATGTTAAAGGTGGCATGTTAAAGTGGTTTCATTTTTACAAGTCAATTCGGAATTCGAAGTGGTAGTGGTCGATTTTATGGTAGGTTTAACTAACCAATTCGTTAACAAATTTGAAGTCATATTCATATGTTATTAACCTGAAAAAATTAATTTATGTAATATATACCGATACCTACACAACAATTATGTAGGCATTAGGCAACTCTTTTGTGTGAAATGTAAATGAACGTTGGTATGTGTGTGAGTCATAATTTTCACTGAAAACGCCAAATGAACAAATAATATTTGTAATTTTTCAATTTCCATTATCAATATTATAACTCATAATACTTCTCAGTTATAATATTACAGTTGCATCCTTAATGTGCAATTTTATTATATTATAAGCATGGGCCATGGCACATGTGTCACGTGCAGGGCAGTGTTTAAATAAAATGGCAATGGAGACTACTACACATGCATTATTCTCAAATATTATCAACTTTAATTGATTTTAAATAAAATTTTTATTACATTAATATTAGGTATACATAATAAAAGTATTTTAATATTTAGTCTTAAGAAGTCATACCCACATCAGATATTTGTAGTTGGACGTGCTGCACCATAATAACTGAACTTGTTATGAATTCAGGGAAATAAGCAACTAAAAAAATTTAATTTAAATTCATTAGTTTTCACAAAAGACAAACTATACATAACTATTAAATTATTATACCATTAGAAATACTCAACAAGTCATCGTACATACAGTTATCTACTCGACATGGTGAGATAATGAAATATGAATTAGATGCCAAACCTCGGATTGACTCTAAAGATCTTCTTGTTCTTTCAATATTGTATCACCAGCGGAAGAAATGAATTCATTCGGCGTGGAGGGGTTTTCGATGCTCCTTAGAGAACTTAGCGAGTAGCTTAGTATAGCTGCTTTGAGTATGCGTCTTGTTTTGATGAGGTCTAGGGCGTAATAAATTGCCGTTACCTCCGCTGAATATATTGAGCAGAAATTGGGGAGTCTGAGCATTGATACGTGGTCTTTAAATACTACTGAAGCACCAACTCCGTTATCCGTTTTGGAGCCGTCGGTGTTTATTTCAGTGTGGTCGCAGAGATGGGAAGTGATTGATTGTAGGACAACGCATATTGTTTTCAAGAATTACGGGTATATATTATATAACATATTATTTCTCACCTGAAAATTAAGTTTTATTATCAATACAAGTATACAACACAAATATGAAATATTAATATTTGAAATGTTGACACAAATCATATTTGACACAATATCACATTTAATAAAAAATGAATGTTAAAAGTTAATGTTTTTTTTTCCAGCGTCGTAAATTAAAATATGATTGAATTAATAATTTTAAAACAAGTTTGGTGAAATGTTGCTTTCTAAGATAAACAATATTCAATAATTATTTAAATTTATACCTGATAACTTAACAACAATAATAACTTAAAATGTGAAAAAGTGATCTAAATTTCACATTGCATTTTTTTTCAAAGATAAAATGGTCCAGTTATAGATTATATTCGTAGTTTTAGGATGGTAAAATATAAGGGGTTGTTGAAGCCTCACTAAAAATGTGCAATGTGACATTTTGAGGGGGCTCAAGTGCCACATCCCCCTTTCGTTGATTTATGTTAATGATATTCATTAAAAACAAAAAATACCTAAGTATCTTTAATATTTTTAAATTGTTAGAATATTAAAACATGACAAAATATTACCATGTGAGTATAAAAAATTCTAATTTAATCATTTGGTGAAAATATCTTAATTGTTTGAAGTTAGGTGTTCGTTTTTAAATTACAAAAAAATATCAAAAAAAGGTCGAGGATGAATATTTAATTCAATGGTAAATATCAAATTTCGAAAAACTTCAAATGCGGACAATAAATAAATGTGATTTTCCAGTGAGCTTTTTTTTTGATATAGGTTGGAAAACTTTTTAGGAATTTTGTATTAAATTTTTTAATTTTATTTACTTATAAAAATTCAAAAAATCAATTAATTTTATTTCATTGAAAAAAATAAATGCATTCATGGGTCGAAATTTCATAATTGTTCTTTCTTTGATTTTCAGCTTCATTTCTAAAAACATTAACAGACCTAATGCTAATGCCTAAAGAACTTTTTACGTCTTAGTTGAGTTTCAAGACAATAAATTGAATGGGAATTACTTGATTTTTTCCTCGTTTAAACTTTTTAGTTGCTCAATAAACATTTAAAATCTGTACTTATTCTACAAGAAATATTAAAGTTTTTTGTAAATAAAAATTGAACTGAAGTATAAATAGAAATAATATTTAAATAAACTAGGATACTTAAAAGTAATTCATATATATCTTAAATTGGTGAGTTTGTGGACAGTTTTGAAATATTCATTTATTTTATGTATAAAATACGAGTATTTTCCATGTAAATATATTGAGACTAAATTTATTATTTAAGTATAATTGCAGTTGAATTTCTAATTTCCCATGTCATTATTGAATTGTTTTATCATTATCTGCGAGGATTACGAGTGAGTGATGGAGCGGCGTGTCACCTCAATGCTGTAATACTTAAAGTTATCTCAAACATAGCTATCATCAATGAAACAACAACAACAAAACTGTCATTAGTATGTTGTGGGTCGCCCATAAAACTCGAAAATTGCATATCTATGCTTATAAATTGCTCAATGCCAGACAATATATTTTGAATATTTTATGCTGTATAGAAAAAGACAGTATAAACTATAAATAATCAGTAAAAATATCATATATTGGTCGAATATTTTAGAGTTACTTCAAAAACCAAAATAGATTTGGTCTAAAATCAATTTTGTGTTAAGATTCTCGTTTTTAATTATTTTTTTCTGTCTTCCCCGGCTCTTTTCAAAAATACTGGGAATTTTAAATTTGGACACTTTGGTGCACCAACTAGTTTCAATTTCACACCGAAAAATATGCTGAAGTTGAAAACCGAAACATTATTTTTACTACTTATCGTGTACTCTGCGACGAATAGTTAATTGATCTTTGATATCTTTGATATCAAAGAATACTAATTGTTGGTATCATAAGAAATGCAACTACGATGAAAAAAATATAAAGTAATTAATTAATTACGATTATAATAATAGATTACAATAATAATTATCATTTTGATGGCTGCGTGTTAAAAAAAAAATAATGAATTGTGTTTGAAAACAATTTTGAAGGAATTTATTCGAAAATTATTTTTAGAAGTGCCTCATTAGATGACAAATTTGTGTATCAAAAGATAGTTGAAAGTAAAAAATATTTAGCACTTATTTTAAGTTCGATTTATACCAATTATTTCAATTCAAAGTATTAATGCATTTACGAAACTTAAGAGGGCCATAGTTAATAAACTAGTGAACCGAAATTGATAATTTGACTATCAAAATTTTTTTTCAAAAAAATCTTCAACAAAATCCATTAAAAATAAAGTTGTTACCATTTTAAAAAAAGTTGATTTTGCTGTTGGTACAGTTTCGAGTTTTAAAATTTTGAAATTTTTCTAAAAATAATGTCTTGTTAAAAATAAAGAAACAAGTATTTTTTTGTTTTTTTGAAATCCCATATCATTGATCCATAATCGATAAAAAAAAAAACCTGAGTGCAATGACATAACAATTTAAGATACATCCTTTATATGAAACAGCATGTCGTTATAATTTAGTACATATTATACATTTACACTGATTTAAAATACACATAAAGTATAAACATGTATTCATCACTCAATAATAATCGTATAACAATGTTGATTATTCCATAGTTCAATTTAAAGTTAATAAGCAGCAATATTTATAGGTTTGTTCAAGCAACTTAAACATTTTCAGCTAAAAGTATTTTATTATATTATTTTGAACTGCAATAGTTTGCAATGTACTGGATAAGAATACATGATAAAAAGCATATATATAATATTATGTGGATCATAATGGCTTAAATATGTTTGTACCTACTTCTTAAGAAATTAAATTTTAATCCCAGAATTTATTTATTTAGCACAATAACCTAAATGCATTTATAGTGTGTGAATTTTGGAATGCAATTTTTTGCAACCGTCCTTGGTGCATCAATATCATGCCAAAATGAGTCTGAACATGCGTGCTGGAAAAAGGTTATCAAACTCACCACGATGACAATAATTATTACATTAATAATAATATCGTCTCCTCTGGTTGTCGGTGGTATATTTCCGGACAAACTGTGAACACGGCGCTTCGATTATGCAATTTCGCTTAACTTTTTCCTGTTGATATTAAGTTACTACGCTTGGATATTTTAGTATAAAATGTAATAATAACAATAGATTTTCAAAATTCGAATATAGATACAGTGCTTGTGCCACGATGGTATTTGTATTTTAAATCCATCAATAGATGATTTGTTGACAAGCTATAAATATATTATATAAATAGTTATCTTGAATCTAAAATTCTGTTTTTTTTGTTTATCAAAGTTAAAATTGTAAAAATAGCCTTTCAAATACCAAGTTTTGTTTCTTATTTATATTATTGTTACAAATTAATAATTATATACATAAATCAAAAATCAAACATAGTACTAATGACATTCTATAAATATTATAATATCATCTTCATACTTCAGTTCTTTAAACATGACGTAGTCGCATGCGTAAACAACTTTATATTAGCCAGTGCGTCGGTACACGCTCAAGTGACGGGACGCAATTAATTTGGAATTTTTTTTTAATACTATTCATGTTATTATTTAAAAACCAAACGCGCAAAATCATTGAGGCCATTATTATTTCGAGACACGATTTTAAAGTCAGTGTAGCGTGGTACAGTCGGCCGCGGGGTAACGATTGTTTGGAGTGGGTTTCGCTGTATGTCATAATAACACTGTCACTATAAAAGTGTGGTTTACTGTGTATATGTATTTACATTTTTTTTTAATCTCCCTCTAATTGAACGAATAACTAAAGCACATTCCAATATCGCATAGTGTCAGTTTATACGCACACACACACACACACACACACACACACACACACACACACACACACATACCATATTATGTATATAAACATATATAAATATATATACTTGTACGCATAAAATTAGAGATGTGAGGTAAATTTGCCATTTACATTTTTACGGGTAAAAAATTTACCGTACATTTTACCAATTTTTTTTAGTTAAATTCTCTATCTCTATATACAAAATACGAGACGCATTATTCAGTTAACATGTGTGTGTATATAGCACATAAAATAAACATTGTGCACTAGAGACTAGACGTTTAGAGAGGATCGCTTGAGAGACCCTATAATGAAACACAGTTGAAGAAATACCTTCAATGTCAACAAAATGTGTCTAGTTATTATTATTATAAATTGAAATATTTAGGTTACTGAAACTACTTATACTATTTTTGTGCTCCATATTTATGTTTGTTTTGTTGTATATGTGTGATAATATTTATTTTTTTATTATTTCAGTACCCGAACATTGTATGATATTTTCTGGCAACAACACACACACACTTGGACTACTTTGCAACTATTTTTTCAGGGAAGGAAACAACATTTTAATCGGATCCAGTTAAATATGTTTGGTTGTAAATTTAAATTTGTAAAACTATATTATATGTCAATATACAGATTTAAATTATTCTTTTTTTTTAAAGTTAAAAATTTAAATATAAGTAATATATACATTTAATATAGCATCTAATACCTAGATTATTATTATATATTATGACGTTTATAGTATTTCTATCACATTTAAGATTTATTTCGTATGTTAATGCATTTGAAATATATAACATACTCATATAATTATAGTGTTGAATAAATTATTATGAAATATTGAAAGTTGAATTTTTTATAAAAGTGCCAAAAAATAGTTATTAAACTTGCAGACTTAACTTTGCACTCGCTTGACAAATATTCATTTTGAACTAAAATATTTTTCAGATTTTCCTGTTTTATTAATAGTTACCATCATAATTTCGTAACTAAATATTTGTGCAGCTTAGGTATGTTCAAATATATTATTCACAAAATTAAGTCTAGTTATTGTAATTTCTAAATGTAAATTGTTTGGTATTACTATAAAAATATAATTAGTATGGTAAGTTTTTATAAAAATATAGGTACCAACGATTTACTCAATCCATGTGGTATTATATTATTTGAAGTTATTATTACCATAAGTAGGGTGTAACCTAACATAATTCTAAACCAATGGATGGTCTTTGTCTGCGTATAACACTCAATGTGAAAACTTCTAGGCTGACCACCAACTGTACCATCATCACCCTCGTCACTATTCGAACTGAGACAAACAATTATATTACATATTTTATAATATGTGTTTATGTAAAGATTAATAACTTATTTTGTTCTAGTAAGTGCACTATTACAGTATTACTAGGCTTAATAATAAGTCCACCATCGACCATAATGTGTGTAATAACTTCGCGAAGAGATTTTCTCGTTGGCTGTCCAAGCTTACAATAGTACAATACTGCTATTACTAACTTCGTCCACCGAACTTCGAATTAGTGCAATAAATTGGTCCTGGGAGTTGGGACTTAGAGACAGATGAAACTGGCTTTGGTTTTGGGTTTATCTTCTACTTAAAATCGTATAGGTATGATGTGTTCATGAAGTTGACTGTCTTGTCTCGAAAAAGGTCTAAAATAAATTTAAAAATAATAAGGCCACAGACTTTTTTTAATTTGAAATCACGTGTTCATCAAAAAAAATTATTTAAAATTAAAAATAAATTATACAATAGCTAAAAAGAATAATAATAAAACTGTACAGTATAGCACTATATCGCCTTGAATAAATAATTCAATATATTGTAAAATAAAGTGATCAGGATTTAACATACATTTTTAAACATACATTTTTGATCTTAATAATATGAACTATGTACACAAATTCTACATTGGTGGAAACGGTGCCACTGCAGTTGGAGTAGTTCCAACAACTGCAGGGGAAGATACTTCAATGATACGTCTAGTTGGTTTAGGCACTTGAACGAAATATTTTAATTTGGTTTTATAATTTACATCTGTTTTATCATTATCTTACACTCTAGAATCATTGACGACGCTACTGATTGGTAACCTAAAAGTTATAAAATATTTTTTCTTCACAAACAGTAATTTTAAAATGTTAAGTATGATTTAATTATTTTTACTCGGGCTTGGCTAGTTTTATCTCAGCTTTTTAATTTTTCCTTTTGTTCGACCACTTTACTCATATTACTGTCAGAATCCTCAATTATCTAAACAAAACCATAAAAATCATTAAAAGTTCTAATTAAAATCTACATTTAAAAACAATTAATTATTTACAGATTTTGAATGAATAATTAGTCTGTGCTAACTGTATATTTAAAAGTGTATTAAATATAAGAATAATATATTTTTTACATTATATTACGGACATTTTTTTAAAATTTAATTAATATATTTAATGTAGCATACCCGTCTCGCCTCCACCCAAGATCATATATTTATTTTTTATTTTTTTTAAATTTTCTATTTTTAGAACATATTTTCTAGAAAACTTATATAACTTATTAAATTTCTAATTCCATACTAATATTTTAGTATAAGGGAAACATAAACCAACTAACTCGCGTCTTCGAGTGGTTTTTGCAGCTACCTAAACAGACACACTAGTATAATATATTATAACAATATTAATACCTAACATATAAACCTATGATAATGAAATTGTTGAAATAACATGGTACGGAAAGGATCTAACATTAGCTTATCTTATCTTTGCCCGTGATATGATTATTAAGTGGGCATGGTCACTTCTCACGTCATAAACAGGCTAAAAATTTCAGCCAAATAGGTTTAATAGTTTTTGAGTTTACCCCGATCATACAAACAAACGCTATCATTTTATATATTAGTGCAGATGAAAGCATTTAAGCCTTTTCTCAAAGCATCAGGAAGATTCTTAAAATCATTTTCATTTTGCTGTGTTTCATAAATTGGTTCATTATTTAATGTTGACCCAGTGGATTTATTTAGATTTTAGACCAACTGTAGACACTAAGGTGAATTGTGGTTTTTTTGTTGGTTTTTGAGAAGTAGTCCCATCAGACTCAATACTTTTTTGGAACTATTTTAAAAATCACTGTCAAGAGAACTTCTTGTCTATTGATCTAAATTATTTTTTGCCACGGATTCAATTTTATCTAAATTGTCTACAGCTTTCAAAACTCTACTAGATTACCATCGACCTCGTTAAAATTAATTAGTCGTTCAACAGGCTTAACTATATTTTATTCATTAGTTATTGTAGACTGTGATAGAGATTGTGGTAGATCATTCTTTGAATTATTTTAATAGATTTAGATGATTCTTTGAAAGTTGGAGTTTTGAGATCATTTTCAGTTGTACTAGACTGACTAGATTTTTTAGAACGACTAATGGTACGATCTCTTTCTTTAAATTTCTTAGGTTTTTTTTCTCCACTAAACACATAGGTATTTGTAATTTATTTTATATATTATTTGAAACGTTTAAGTTGTAACCAATCTATAAAATATCAACACAGTGTTATTAAAAAAATGAATTATTATTTATTTTAAAAATTAAACAAAACTTGTTTTTTGATGACTTTAAAAGCTAGTATTTACATGTACTTACTTAAGTATGAGTATATATGTATATAATGACTATTTAGTTTTATTAATTTAAATTTATCTAAACAAAATATACATATGAATACAAATAATAATACAATATTTTAAGGATATGTGTTTTCATTTATAACTTGAAAGAACTGAACGAGATCATTTAAAATTATAACTTGTTGTACCGTTGTAGGTAAGTGTTGTGTATGAAATGTTTAAATATTTCAAACGTTAAGACTTTGTATTGCTTTTGAAGCCGAAATAAATAAATTATCATAGATATCATACATTTTAAATGATTATAATTAATATTTATTAATGTTTAATACCTGAATAATGTTTTAGTTTCGTATTTTATAAACAATTTTTTTACTTTTTAGATATTATTTGTAGTTATGAGTTATTATGGCTACTTGTTATATAGATTTAAATTTATTCAATCAATATAGGTGCATTCAAGTCTGAGTAATGCCGTGGTATACACAAATCCTGTTATTACATAATAAGTATAAAAATAAAATAATAAAATATTTTGAAATGTTTTATACATATATAGGTATGTAATATATCACATACATTACACACACACACACACACAAACACACACACACACACACACACACACACACACACACACACACACACACACATATTAAGTCAATGGATTGTTTTTCTATAATAATTAGAATAACTTACACAGTATAGTAGGTATCTATTATCTAATCGGTTTAACGACTTGTTATGATCGACGTCTATCTGAGCAAAAACATACAAAAACACTATGCTATTATAGTAACCTTTGATAAAATCGTCTGCATGATAATTTTATTACGCCTTAGCCACCAGGTAATGGGAGTTTAAATCAATTATTTGTATGAGTGTTGAATTAAGTGATACACGTCAGAGAAATACGAATATAACTATACCATAATTAGCAAGTGCACTAGGTACAGCTTAATATTATTTATTATTACATAAAATAATCTTTGCACTTTCATAGATCGAATTAAATTGGACATGGTACATTGAGATATTTTCACATAACATATAAACTGATATGTTTACTTACTAAGTGTTATTTATAATAATTATGGGTTATCATAATATAACTTCACAGGTATCAAATACTATAATCTAGACATTTAATTTGGAAGAAATCGAATGAAGAACTAACTAACAGTTTTTTTGACATCCAACAAATAAATAATTATTTGTACATTATTGTTCATTTAGGATTTTGGAGATAATTTTTTTCAATCGAAATATAATAATTTTTGCTACAACAGCACACGTATAGTCATTGAAACGAAGGTATTAAATTTGAATTCAGTAATAAACCATTGTACTATAATTATAGGTATAATGCGGATAAAAATTCTGAAAGAAATATACTCGTATGGGCCGATATGGATATCACTAGATCAGCATTTATTACTTGAGTAATTTATATTATAATTGTATTATTATTTATTTTTATTATTTATTCTGAATACACAACCTACATCAGGTTAAACTAATTTTTGATCAAAAGCATCACATGTCTGTATTTTACATGTGATTTTTTTTATTCCTTTTTTAGGTAAGTCATATTTTGTGTGTTCAATACATTTCATGTTCACTTCTATAAATAGTAAATACTCTTTCATTTTTTTTAACCAATGTAATATAGATATTGTTCTTTTGTAAAGTGTGTGTTCCTTGATATGTCGATATTAACCTTAAGGTACCTATGTCCTATACAGTATACAACTTCTGATAGAACTACATGGAGTCGTATATAGTATAGGTGCCGAAGAATACAGTGAATATCTTAAAACCAGGGTAATCTACATTATTGTACGTACTTAGAAAATGTCATGGTGTATGTAAAATAATTAAATATGGAGAATAATATTTTAAAATATTTTCGATTAATTTCATAAGCCCGTATGCCAAATGTATTAAAGTCTGGGAAACAGTTGAGTTTTTTTTTCGTAAAAGAGCTTGAAGAAAAAATTTAGCATACCTATCCAATGCTTAGGTGCTTATTATTTGTTCAATATAATGCGTACCCACACTGTATAAACCAATAATAGTATAATTCCTGAAGTATTGTAATCATTATTTATTTTAATGTTAGTTTTGTATAATGTATAGGCAGCGGCAATATAGATCAGCGTTTCTCGTCATTTGGTACGCTTACCACGAGTGGTACTTGGAAGGCTCATAGGTGGTACTCGAAGAAATTCTCTCCGTATAGCAAAAGAGAAATATCGTCAGTGGATCATTGTTTATATTAAATATCATTTGATATTAATAATAATATAAATAATAATTGAACACAATATAGGTAATTAATTTTCTTTTTGTAAATTAAATGCCTATATTGTCATAATTTTGTAGCTATAAAATTAAATAAGATGCTATATATTTATAAAATGGAGTATACAAAAAAACATGTTATTTCTTTAAGAGGTACGTGAACATTTTTTAACTGTGTGAGTGGTACGTGGATACAAAATTGTTGAGAAGCAATGATCTAGATTTTAGATTTTTTTTATTTGTAGAGATAATAGTATTACAGACTCTATTGAATTGTGAATTGTATCACTTAAAAATAAATATTATCTTGAAAGATATACTTATATTTACGAATGGTTATAATTATTTAGTAGCACGTTCTTGAAATGTTAATAAAAAAACTCCGATGTAAATTTGTTTATAAGAACTTTTTGAATATTATTTTATTTTTCGTATCTACAACTAAAAATATGCGTATTCATTATTGATAAGTTTCCAGTTAATTTAATCAAGTTACAAAAAAGCGTATAAAAATACTTACTATCAACCATATACCTATTCCCACTAATCTACTAAAACTTAAAATCACATTAAATAACTTTCTTCCCCTTTTATCCATATTTGTTTGATTTGTTTGAATTATAATTGTGAACATTGGGTACAGTCAAAAACAATTTTGTAAGTTATTTTCAATATATAATATGCTAATAATATAGGTGATTAAAAAATGTCCTCTAACACTGACATAATAATATATTTGTAGCTATATTCCAAACGTCATTTTACATAAGTATAACTTTTCAAAGTGTACATAATCAATTTTTATTAGTTTAATCGATTGATATTTATTTTAATAGGTACCTATACGTGGCTACGTGGATACGTTTGTATTTCCAATCACATCTGAAATTGTCCACTCAAGTAGCTGGCTGTAAAAAGTTAACAGATTTAAGGGTGGAAGCAGACTATGTGTCGAATGGAAATTGTGTTCTACTAATATGACCGACCTTTCGTGCTTGTTGTTCGAGCTCAAATCGTTATTGTTTATTTGAAAAGGAACATAGGTGTAAAATGCGTTATTTTACGCGCACATGTTGTCATATTAACTACATAATTGTACATAATATACAAGGTGTAACAGAGGAACCTGACAAAAAAAAAAAAAAAATAATGTCGCTACCATTTGTTCCTACATTTGTCGCGGGACAAATTTTTTTTAACATCATCATATGAGTTGTAAATAATTTATGAAATATTGTTGCTGGCCTTGGGATCTCCGCTTATAATATAAAACATGTAATAGAATATGTTATATTTACGAATATATCGACCTTATATGCACTACACCGGCAAGCCGCAAGTTAGGCTACATCAAAGGAGCCGACACCACTTATAAGCAAGCCCGTAGAACAGCGTGGGCAGATGTATCACGAAGACCGGAGCAACTTCTCGTCACACACGCACACACTATTATACACTTACCATATTTTCTGCTGAATAAACATTATTCTTTAGTTCACTTGGGACTATTGTGTCATTTTGTCACCAAGACGTGTGGCTTTTGGAACCTTTAGAAATCCCGCACACAACAATGCAGGTACTCGTGTCAGCAAATTTCCTAAAATTGTATTTTGAAAAAAGTTATTACGTTCTAAATTAATTTAATCAAAAAAATATTGATATTTAAACAAATTCAAACTACTCGGCTTACAAAAATGTTTCCCCATCAAAATTGTTCTTATGATCAGATTCACAAAACTGGCTATTTTGAACTCATCCAAAAAAAAATTTAGTTTAATTTAAATGCTTTTATATTATTTAGTATTAAAAAAATAAAAATATTTTTTTTATATTATACATAATGCACCGCAAGTGACTATAAATTATATATGAAAAAAAAATTCAAAATATTGATTGTAAAAAAGTTATTGCATTGGGTAGTCAGTTCTTTCTGTTACACCCTCTGACGCGGCTACGGCGGTGATGGTGATCGCGGTGAGCCGGTCGGCGATCTCGAGAGTCACGGACGGTTTGGGTGGCACTCGACGTAAAAAGAAAGATAGTACACTGGTTGTGGTCCGTATGACCGATATGTCTGTATTTGTTATGCAAAAAATGATGTAAGACACGAAAAGAAACGACGGTGTCCTGGCTGGATGATGGTTCGGGTAACGACCGGTGTCCGTTTTCGTGCTGGTGTAGGCCGTTCGACGATCGGCGTAAGAGAGCGACCCCGTCCGGTACTTGTCCAGCGCGATTTGTCTTCCCGTGCCACCTAGCCTTTGCGGCGTGGAGAGGAGAGTCGACGGTGTCGCGTCGTAGTCACCCATGGTGGTGGTTGATAAAGTCGTAGACCGGTCGCGGCGGTGCCTGTACTTTGACACCTCATATCATAATATTATCTATACAGTTATTTAGTATTTTGTACATATTATTATGTGGTAGTAAAGTGTTTAAGTATAGACATTTATTAGGTTTTAATAGTAACATATTACATTATTATAATGTCATTTGTTTACCGAGTAAATATATGAGGGTTGATGTTACGCCATATGCTTTTGACTATCATAATATAAAGTACACAGGTGCAGATATTTGTTACGGTAAATACGGTTATAATAATAATTTAATTAATAGTATTATGATGATTTTACACATTATGAAGTTATGTTAGGGTAATGATGTGAATATCATTATAAAAAAGAAAACAATCGTTACAGATTTCTGACATGCATATTTTGACATTTTAAAATCTTGTTACAACTCAAAGCAATCCACTTAAATATTGTACAGCCATGAATGCCCATCGTAATCTATAGTTTTTTATTCTCTTATACAATAGTGTTAACTACCCATATAATAATACAATTTTTTTTTCGTTTTCCTTTTTTTTTCACTTAATCAATGATGTTATTTATTATTTCAAACATAAATTTCTTTAGTTGTGTCAAAGCTGACCTTCTAATGATATCCCGCCAGCTTCCATCATCTTCCACCAACCGTCTACCAGTCCGCCTCCCTCTCCCACAATTCGTCGGAAAATATTAAGAAAATTTCTTAGGCTGCGGCTTCCTCACGCACGTTCGATTGAACGTAGTCTTTTCGCACAACCGGATGCAGTCCCAAAGATTGGGGTTTTTTCCTTCTTTATACGTCCAAAATTTACTTCACCCTTCTTATCCCTACATGATGACAATAGTCGATAATATTATTATTATTCATTAATGGTGAATTTCGTCCGTATGTACGTATATAATATTATAATTAGGGCTGTGCATTTTTAGAACAGTGCATTTTTTTTGGTGATTGTGGAACGTAGCATATTTTACTGAATTTTTTGACATTTTTAAAGGTTCTTTAGTGTATTAAATTCATAGCCCTAATTATAATATAATATATCTGCAGTAGTAGTGGTATAAGGCTCGGATGAGTTGTACATTGTACATTAATACATTTTACATTGTTTTTTAATCATGTACAAATCAATGTTTATTTAACAGTAATGTATTTTATAATTAGCACAATGATATTTTGTGAATTGAATTATATAATAAAAAAAGAGATGAATGCAAAGTAAACTAATACATGCAGTAACAAAATGTTGATATAATTATTATCAAATGCGATTAGAACTAGAACGTATATAAACACCGTCCGAAACAGAAAACAAATCAAATGTATTCACTAAAACCAATCGCAAGTAACGTAGTGTTATTTTCTGTAATAATTTGTACATGGTGTTAGAGTAATAATTTTGGATTCGACACCGCTAAGAAGTTCGACGAATAAGGACAGTATTTCAAGTTCGCTATTCCGAAGAATGAATCATAATAGCTGATCAAGAGAAAAAGGCATTGCTAGATGTAAGAATTTATGATTGTATCATGAGGATTATTTTTATTTAAATTCCAAACATTTTTATTCGATTTATTTAATAAGAATTATTGTAAACCTCGAAACAGTTATTGATTATTTTTAGATATTTAGAGTCGATAATAACTTAGAGGCTAAATTGAAACTAGTGCCTACTAATGATGGCAAAATCCATTTTCATTATTTGTGGTCTTATTATTGTCATAGTAGGTCAATGTATCGTTAATGCTGGTAGTGGTAAATCAAAATCAGATGCTGAGAGTATGTTAGGAATGGCGGCTGATGCATCAGAGATTGCTAAGAATGCACAAGAAATTAAAGATCGACATAGATCTAAAAAAAAACCTAAAAAAATTAGAAATAAACGTCAGAAATTCACAAACAATGGTATGATGGGTTATGCCGAAGATATTGACATGATGAAACACGATAGAAGTATTTTAAATAAAAAAATTTATAACAGCGATGTAATGCCAGGTGATATTGTAGCATGTCTGATGAAAAGTGGCAATACACAACATTATGCTATAGTAATTGATGGGACCGGGACCACTGTTGGATTTGGATACTACGATAATGGTATTAAAAAAACAGATGTTCTTGGGATTCCTTTAGGAAATGTGAAAGGGCATTTTGAGTATTTAAAAGCTGAGAACTTATCAGAGTCTTATAAAAATAAATGTGCTGTGTTAAAAAACGCATATAACACACATTTTTTAAATGTTGATGATAATTCCCCTTGTTCTAAACAACTTAGTTCAGCATACGAAAAATGGAGTGTAATTTTAGCAGATAGAATTAACAAAATAAAGTCATTAAATTTAATGTATAACGTTATGGAATGCAATTGTCAAATTATCGGATCATACCTCGCATATGGTTTTTTAAATGAAAGAGTTAATTGTGTTACAGAAAATGGTGACAAAATATTACGATATCGTAATAATAAGCATAGAACTAATGTTGGTGAAGTGAATGATGCATACATCGATTATTACTTAACTTGTCGTGAATAAAAACAATTTAAAAAGTACGTAAAATTTGAACAGTAGATAACAATAATCAATAACTAATGAGGTATAATATAATAATGTAAACCGTAGTGTTAATAAGCAAATATTTTAATATCTTACATAGTATGTAAGAAAAAAATAATACATATAGGACATAGGTATATTAGTAATTATATTAAAAAATACATTTTTTTTCGTATTTGGAGGATTGTTCCAAAATAATAAAACTAAAGTACATTAACCCGTAATATTCTCAATACCCATATTAATTATTCAGTGATGTTTGTAAAATAAATAACATTTTAAATATAAAATCGAAATGAAATTTGAATTGTATCCAATAGTATTAAATCTAATTAAAACGCAGATTTTGTTTGTGTATACAAGATAACGATTTATCTTGGAAGTAATTTGTCTAATTTGTTATCTAATTAAATATTGTTAAAATGTAGAATGATTGTAATCATGTAGAATAAAAAAATTGTATAATTTATTTGTAGATGTACAGAATAAATTAATTTAATTCAAATAATGTGCTTTATAAATGCATTATATTGATATAGATAGATACAGTATACTCTCGATTATCCGTGGAATAGGGTGACAGGACATCCAAGAATAAAAAAAAATAATAAAAAAAATAATAAAAAATAGATTGGAAATTTAAATTTTTGTATTATAAATTGACAAGGATAATCAAGAGCACACTGTATATGCATTTAAATATATTATTGTAATATTAATGAAGTTAAACAGTTGAATGATAATTTTCAACGAGTTTAGGGTCTACGCAAACAATGTAAGCGTAGTCGATTGGTAGATTGACAAGTCGTTTATATTCGATTAATCAGCGGTGAGTTATTTCAAAAATGGGTCAAATAAACCGATTAATCGATATAAAATTGATTAATTTAAATAATCGATCAGGTCTATATTTTTGTGCTTACGAGGACCAGGTAAATAAGGTCTACCAAATGACAGAATTGTAGTCTAATGCAGAACGAACAAAATAATGAGCAGTACAGAGATTTTAGTGTTATTTGATTATGGACATCTGAACTATGACTATATTGACTGTCAGTTGCAAATAATCTGCAGTGATTGTAATTATGGGGTTATCGGTAGATTAGTAGGTGATAGGTATACTGTAAGGTGGGTGAAATAGTGTGCAATTCTATGATATTTTTTAAGTTCGCCACTGCTCTGTAAGTATGCTTTTATGTATAATACTTTCCAGCTACGTATTTGACAATTAAATAGTAGTACATGTATGCATATATATTATTTACTATGCATGCTGCAGTTGATGTATGTGTACATATATGTCTGACATATATATAAGTGCATTACCCACTAGTATGTAACTGCATGTGATCGAACGGGATTATATGAAAATGTATAATGCGATACTACCGTATACAGTTTTTATAACTATTTAACATTAAAGATAAAGAACAATGAATAATATTAAATAATAATAATAATACAAATACCTCGGTTATTATACTTACATTGGCACTCGTCAATGCGATGATGCAGTACTGTAGTCCATATATTATTATATATTATCCAGTATATACCTGTATGCACTATACATAATACATCTGTGTATTGTAGTCGATATGTCATATAATATTATTCAGTATACCTATATAAGTTTGTGCTCGATCGACAGTCAATCAATCTTCTCCACGAAAACTACGTCATTCTTCGGTAGCTATTATACGAGCTGGCGGTGTGGCGGCAGTATAGACGGTGGGTATTTTCCATCCGTGTTACGAAATCAAACCCTTCTGCTTTTTAGAAAACTATAAAATACTACTAAACAACTAATGGCGGATCAATCTCGTCTGCGGCCATGATAACGCGGAAACGATAATCTTCAACCGTCATCGTCTATACTCTCGCACACGCACTCACACTGAAAACGATCGACCGGACGTAACGCCGAACGCGTTGCGACTGATCTCGTCGGCGGCGGAAACGTCGTGGAAGCGTCGCGTTGCCCGCGGGGGCCAATCGCATCCGTCCGCGGACGACGAAAGTGCACCGGCGATCCGCCCATTGACGATTTTCCAGCGACACGTTTGCGTCCAACTTCTTGGTATCACGATTATGGCGGAAAGCATGACATATAGGACATAGCCACAAGAAAAGCGCACTATTTGCAAGCATTTATATAATATATACATTAAAGAAACACTCATAATATGACATTATATATGTATAATGTTGTACCAAAATAAGAACTATATATTTTTTTTTTCTATAAAGTTGTTCATTTAATGAATATTGACAAAATAATCAGCATCGGCTGTATGTTAATTTATTTATTTAATCTCACGGAGAAATAAAAAAGTGTTCTTTCTTCTAAATTATTTGTAAGTATTATTAATAGAGTAAAAAAAAAAACCAACCGAAATCACTTGAAGATCCATTTTCGCTAGCCCTAGATTCGGATTCATTTTCCGGTATTTGTACTGATTTTTCAATGTACAATAAATATTTAATTTCTGGAAGTCGGAGATTTTTAAAGGTTAGTTCTTAAGAAGGCGTTGTCTCCGTCGTACACACGAACGACATTGAAAATTTTCGTTTACTAGTTTCAATACAGTGTGCTATTAGTTTTGGTAGGTATTAAAGCGAATTGACGTACTATCAAACTTTTAGCTTAGAACATTATCTGTATATGTTCTCTCGTAGGTTTATTACTGTATTTTATTTTTTAAGTGCGTTATGTGTACGCGTAACTCATTAATGTATTGAAAAGCTAATAATGTCTGCATTGGTTATACGCTTGAATTACTTCAAAATTCTTGGATACGACTAATACAAGAATGTAACAACTAAACACAGCCGTCATGGATATTGACTGAACATTTAAAATGTAATGAAAGTTTGACTTTTGTAGTGGATGCCGAATGGTGAGGGATGACTGGGGAAGTCGCTTAAGTCCCTCGATGACATGGCAGATGCCGAGTATAATGTGATATCTCAAAATGCTGATATAATAAACAGTATTATATGGGTATCGATGGATTAATTATCGTTACATATTAAATTATCATGAAAACAAGTCTCGAAGAAATCGCTTTTCGGTCTGTGCGTGTAATATAGTGACCACTAAGCAACTATGATGGTTATTAATTATTCCTGATGACTACATGACCCGCGATTTACATATAGGTACGGTATACAGCGATTGAGTTTTATTTATTCGATTTGGTGAACCATTTATTATTAATTCGATCATATTATTATTTATTAGATGTATAAAAGTCTATATAAACACGCGTTTGTCTCTTGTATGTACTTTTCGAGTAGGTTTTATTATAGTGTCATTTGCTTATTTATTTCTTAAGCTTGTTAGATGACCAATCAATCAATCGGAAACTTTTGCAAGTATATTACACGCCTCTACGGTTGTACGCTAGGTGTTTTGGAAGTGTCATAACATAATCATCGCCTAAGTATGTTTGAAACTCGGAACAATAATGTTCTGAAATACCTATTTAAAACTTTTTAAAAGTGGTTCAGATAAATTAGGGATAGGTTAATTTTTAATTATAATTAAATGGAGAACTTATTATTTTTTAATCACATCGATTATATTAATTATACACGTTCAAACCAGAGCCGTTCCAAAAGGGACAGAAGAGGGATATATATTTGTCTTCAAAAGATATCCAACTGTTTAAAATATGTTTGCAAAATTTTAATTCCAAACTACCAAAGTTTTATATCCTAAAATAGTCAATTTATTTTATTTTGATTAATAAATATTATTATTGTCTTTATTAAAATCGAGTTTACATAGGAGTGAGTGTGGTAAGTTGATAAGTCTGGTATAAGATCACGAATTGATTATATTTCTTAACAAATTATGATATCAGTCTGTATTATTAACCAATTACTCATAATATGATGTTATGAAATCATTTTGAAACACGTATCATTGTAAAACCAATATATTCATCGCTATAATACTTAGAATACTCAATTACTAGTTCTCAATATAAATATATTCTCATATTCGATCGTTTGTATAGGTATACACAAAATAGTAGGTACTATGTAAAAATCATGTAGTTAAATATTACAATGTAAAACTAAAATTATCAATATAAATAATTAAATTTTTTTTTATATTGCCTATAATGTGGCATTATGTAAAAATCGTGCTTTCGTCAAAACAAATGGATACCTAAAGCATAAAATTGGTCAAACCAAATTGTTGATTTCAAATATTATTAATTATTATCACCCTGGACAGACTACAAAATCTGTCGTAAACTATCCACTTATTTTTAAAATATTTTGACTATACCACAATGAGGCTCTGGGGCTTTTCACTATTTATTATTGCATCATGTTTTTCGAATCAATATAGTTGATGTGCAATTTTCGATTTCGTTAAAAAATATTTACTAAAAATGATAAACTATCAAAATGTATTGTAATAAAAGTGTTGTGCGTATTTATTGGACTTTTTTAAGCACGTTAAGTTCCGAGCCCCGTGAGTAATTATACTGATATGATATTATATTGTTTATGACTAGAAATGGTTAAAATAAGATCTTTATTCATATTCCAAGTAAAATACACAATTCGAGTGTGTTTTCAGAATTTTTTAAACAATCATTGAAATTAATAAATATAATTCTGATTGTCTTAATTCAGTTTAAAATGAAGAATACTGTTTTGAAGTAGTATTGTCAATACTGTATTGATAACAACGAACAAATAGTTACAACACATTTAACAATTTATCTGAAACAGAAATACCTACTATAAGTGCACCGATCGTCAATGGTGATGATTTAAGTGTTTTAACCCACAGTGTTGTAGCCTGTAGTAATATGGTTTTTGTTAATTTGTCGTCAGTCTGACAAACGAGACGAAAGTTCTGACCGATGCCTAGAATGGTTTATAGATTTTTGGTTTAAATAATGATAACACGACACGATTCGTTAAAAATGGTAGTTTTAATATGAAATAAATATTAATTATTAAGCGAAGAACTTATGTACAAATATACTACGTCCGTCGCCGTTGTCTAACTCAGACCGGTGACGCTTTTTTATGTTGCGGACGCTTGTATGGCTGCGGAAATGCACAGTTATGAGCTGAAATAACATTCTTCAATACTCGTGCAAGGGTATCGAGGCCTTCCTTAAGTGGCGATTACAGTACAAAATAGTATATTGTAACAACTAGTACTGGATTAGAAGAAAATAATTGTACGAATTTTGAAAATTTAAATTTTGTTTCTATTTGTTTTTTTTATTTTAATTTAGTCAATTTATAAAATTTAGCGGATAACAATACAACAATCATCAACTTCTAGTGTTTATTCAATTACCTAGCTTTGCTTACAAGATAATTTACAAGCAATTGATTCGAAACAAGTAGTTTTGAAAACAATTTTTTAATTTAAATGTATAAATATAAATTGAAAAATGAATACAATTTTACAGTATCAGCTTTGAACCCGATAAAAAATCTTCAATTTTTAGTTTCCTTATTGCTCTAGTCACTTAACAGTTAACGGCTAATAGTAAGGAGTGTTAACTTGGACACCATTGTAATAGTATATCAAATTTTAATTCATGATTTGACTATGACTCGGAAAATTAAAAAAATATATTGATTGAATATTTTTTTAAATGTTATAATTATAATTATTATTCATTTTTTTTATCTATAGAATAAGGTTTACGTGTGTATTAACTATTAATTAATATCTGTACTCATTACCCATTTGGGATTTTAAATATAAATTAGTAAAAAATAACAAAATATCACATATTATATAGGAACATGGTTTGTTCAGCGAGAGAACACAAAATATAAATCTCCTTAGCCTCTACAGGAATTATAAATTATATCAATAACATGTCAAATTAAAATTCATAATCAAAATGTTTAAATATAAAATACTTAAATAATTTTTACTATAATATTGTATCGGAAGTATAATTTACATAGTATGGTTTAGGTGTTATAAATATATTGTATTACAAAATACCTATATCTATGTCAGAATCGAATAAGCTCTCTTAAATTATAGACCATGTATTCGTTATTTTCTTCGATAATCCCAGAAACTGTATTATATAATATAATATGGCAAATAACAGATTTATTGGAATTTTTTAGTGTACAGATTATTTATAATTACATTGTTTCTTCATCAAAATAAATCAATTGCAATGAATACACCATACATTAATACATTATCGAGTACAGAGTTAAAAGAATAATAATCAACTATACGTATTCTTGAAATTATTAGTTTGAATAAGTTGAATTAATAATTCAGACGTGTATCGTGCAAACAGAAATATTGAATAAATCATTATAAAGGTAAATCTTCAACAGTTCAAAATCACATGGTTAAAAATGTCCACAAAAGAAATCAATATAAGAACAATACGGTTAAGATCATTTAAAAATAGATTTTATTCGGACACATAATATATGACAAGAAGGTAGTTAATATTTTAAATTAATTAAAATAATACTTTTAGTTGGTTACTGGCACACCAGCAGTTGTCGAATTATCGATACCACATTCGTTTGTGCCTCGTTGAATTTTGAAAAGACCATTATCACCCCAATCTGCGTTCCATGAGTTGACCATCAACCAGTATGGAACTCCGTATTCTTCACCCCAACCGATCAATTTAGCGGCATGTCCTCCCAAGTATGTAGCGTTTTCCGATTTCACATAAACACCTTTAAAACGTGAAATTTCGGTTAGAAATGGTTTTACACGGTTTTAAAAACGAAACACAAAAACATGTCATATTATTAAAATATTGAATTGAATAGTTAGTGCTCGTATCGTTTACCTGACTTGTAACTGGGGAAATCGTCGTATACGTCGAACGATGCTTCAATTGGTCCGTAAGTCATAACGTCCTTTTGGATGCTGCCGTATGTTAGGTAGTAGTAGTCACGTGCTGTAATCGTAATCCAATAGATTAGACAAATTTACACACCTTTTCAAAATGTATCATACTGTATCTGTGATCTTGGTCGAAATCGAGGTCCTGATTTCCGTAGCACATCCTTGTGCATCTGTGATTTGATTCCATTGGTTTACCGGCGCAAGTGTTATTGCCCTGTTCGTCATAAGGACAAGGTGGGACTCTGTATGGTTCGCAACCCTAAAATCGACGTGTGCATGGTTAAACCAAAACCAATAATATTATATTATGTACCGAACAAATCGCATACCTCTCCGGATTTGTAGTCTCCCCCGGTTACTAGACCGTGTTTACTAAAACGTTCCCACGCTTTTATCGGATAACCTCCATCACACCCAAAGCCACATGAATGACAGCAGAAAGTGATTTCTTCGGCGGATAATAGTTCATTGAAATCTGCATTGGTCGCTACGCACAAACGGTCAGCAAAAGCCGAGCTCGTGGCCACTGCCTACAAAAATAATTTTTTTTTGAAATTTATGTCCAACTCTTGACACAGAACAATCGATATTTGTACGTACCCAACACGATCCACAGTTGCCTTGGTCACGAACTGCTCCGATCGTGTGACATTTTTTCCATTTTCTCCTGGCGTCAAAGTGTCTTGGAATTCTGCCGAACAAGTTGTCGTAAGCTGCATCGTCGGATTTGTACATTTTAATATTATTTTTGTTTGGGGTTTGTACTCCTTTTGATCCCAAAAGTTTTAGAAAATGTTCCTTTGGTGTACTTGGGTCGAAGTTCACACCTGCCTTATTTGTTAAACGTAATGATAAGTATGTATAATTATAATTAAATATAAGCAAATTATTTTGAAGATATAAAAATTCATACAATTTGTAATATTCATACGTATGACTCTTAACTTTAATACAATATTTTTTTAAATTGTTATTAATGATTTAAAAATAAAAACAGTAGAGCGTAATTCAGAAGCCTATAAATATTTTTGTTTGATTATCTGAAGTTTAAACGTTGAAGATAAATTATATTCTTGTATAAAAAATAATAGCATCTCACCAAACGATTTTTTAATTTGTGTGTTACTCAAAAACGATTTTAATTGAAAAAGTGAAAATACTTGATATTTTCTTTATTGGTGTACATAATAATTTTAAAAACTTGGTAGTTAGTACACTATATTTTATATATTATTAATGAATTAATATATTTTGACACGTTTTGAGCGATTTATAGGTATTTTTAATGAGCATTATGTATGTATTTTTTTTTCATTAAAAAATTATAATTTAACATGCCATTTTTCGAATAAAATATGTATTATTAATTACTTACCTTCCATGTAGTCGCTTGTTCATTGATATTGTCAATGAAATCTTTTTGCAAAAAGTATGCTTGTTCCGTCACATATACGCTGACGAATATCACAGACAATAACATCAACACCCTAGCCATGGTTGCAACTTTGTCGCTTTCAACTTATTATTTAACAGAATTGAATTAAGAACTCACTGTTGCTGCTTGTACTATTTCAGCAGTAAAATGAATTTCGATTTAAAATATTTACCATTTATATAGGTACGTTTAAATACTCCAAATATACAATCGATAAATCAATGAACAATACATGTATAAGTCATCATTTCTCCGAAAAATTAATGAAAAGATCTTTAGTATTTTTATATCGAATAATCAATAAAAATATGCTATTAAATTATTGAATAAAAAATCACTTTTCATACACTTATAGTCTTATCTGGTTAGTTTGAAGTGATTGCATGAAATGAAGATAATATTTAATTAAAAGATTTCGGTAGGTAACTGATGTTTTATTATATTAAATTTATATTGTGTTTTTTCTAATTGTGCAATAATTTTTTTCTTTTCATAAATGTGAAACTCATTTTGAAAAAAAAAACAAAATGTTGTCAAGTTCTGGTTTGATTATTCATGTTGTTTGATAAAATAGTACATTTACTAAAAAAGCTATCTCATAAAATAAAAATACCTTAACAAGTTAAATAGTATAATTCAATATTCAAAAAATACTTAGTACTTAGTTACTTTTTTACTTTTACGAATACATGCGATATTGCCCGAAACAAAAAAAAAAAACTTGACAATCTCTTGTCTGTACAGTAGCAAGGCGTCTTTAGATGGGTCGCTGCGCGGGTTTTGTTTAATTTTAATTCAATGTTAAATTACCATATTTCTAACATAGCTAAAATATCAATATACATATATACTCATTTTGTGATTGTATCTTGTTTTTTAAATCCCAAGTTGATTTACAATTCCCCATTTTCATTAAAAAATATTTAGTAAAAATTATAAATTATAAAAATATATTGTAATAAAAGAGTCGTGTTTAATTATTGGACTTTTTTAGCACGTTAAGTTCCGAACCTCGTGAGTAATCACTGATAAAATATGATATTATTTGTTACTACAGAAATGGTTAAAATAAGATTCAATAATATTCATATTCCTGGTAAAAATACACATTTCGAGTGTGTTTTCAGAATTTTTTAAACAATCATTGAAATTGAAACATGTCTAACACTTCTAATCGTCTTAATTCCGTTTAAAATGAATAATACTGTTTTGAAGTAGTGTTGATAACATCGATAAATAGTTACAACACGTTTAACAATTTATGTGAAACAGAAGTACTTATAGTGGCACTGGAGTTGGGTACTTGTGTATTAAAGATTTATCTTCTCGTTTAGGTTTCCAACCATGAACTATTTTATTCTTAGGTGGTGAGAGGAGCAAGACGAAAACGTCAAGTACCGATACGCCCATGTACAGCAATGTATAATGATTACATTTTACTTTTTAGCCAAAAACAACAAACGTACCAAGACGGTTGAGGCGCAATATAAATTATTATATTACATAGCTATGTAGCATTTCACCGATGTTCGATGCTGATTATTTAAGTGACTTAAGCCCTTAACCCTCGGTTTAAGATGGTGGTAATACAGTTCATACTTGATCTTGTTCATTTATTGTCTGACCAACCAGACACCAGTTCTGACGGATGTCTGAAATACGTAATAATATTCGCTGCTTGTGCAAGGGTTTTCAATATAAATACCTTATATAAGTGGTGATTGCACTACAAAAAAATATATTGTAAGTACTGGTACTGGTTGAGAAGAACATAATACTTTGGATTCTAAAAATATCAATTTTGTTTTTATAAATTTAATCATTTTAATTTAGTTTATACACTTGAAAAAATACAGCGATCTTCAGCTTCTAGTGTTTATTAAATTATGTAGCTTTGTTTAAAAGTTAACTTAGAAGCTATTGATGCTCCATAAGCAGTTTTGAAAACAATTTTTTATTTTAAATTGAAAAAATGAAAAGAATTTTAAAGTAATAGCCTTTAACCCGATTAAAAATCCTTATTTTTTAGTTTCATCATTGCTCCAGTCAATTAATTGCTTATAGTTAGGAATATTAAATTTGGCACCATTGTAGTTGTATATCAAATTTTGATTCTTGTTTTTGACTATAATTCAGCAGATTAAAAACTACTGATTGAATATTTCATAAAAATTTTCAATTCTTATTATCATTCATTTTTTCTTAACTATAGTATAAGGTTTAAGTATGGATTGCCTATAATTATTATCTGTACTCATTGCACATTTGGGATATTAAATATAAATAACTAAAATTAAAAATAACAAAATATAACATATTATATATTTACAATTAGTCCGTCCAGCGAGGGAGTAGGCAGTTTCGCATGGACGAAAATTGAATCTTCTTAGCATCTAGAAGAATTATAAGTTACTAGCTGATCCCTTGTACTTTGTTGCCCGTTAAAGTTTCAACTCTATATGAGACTCGATGGTGATAATACGAGCAGTATATTATGCCCTCCTGCCGTGTATTATTGAAATAATATGTTTTATATTTATTTTGTTTGTGGACACTCCGATGAGCGGCTATAAGTGCAACTCAGCCACCTTGGTAGGCTTTAGGAATTAATACATTTTTACGTGTCAATACTTTTTGAGAGAGCAAATATTTTTTTTTTTTTTTTGTTAACTATCAAAAATAATTTTTTCACACTTGTGAGTTTCTGTCAAATACATAATCATCGCTGTGATAGGGTCAAAAATAAAACCTTTCAAGTTGAATATTGCTGCACTTATAATAGAGATAGTTAACGGTAATGGCACACTCTGTCTCAATATCGATTATTATTATTAAGTATTTCGTATCAAAATATCGAATTATAGTGCTTTTTGACAAGATTATTGGGAAAAAACCGTCATTGATGCATAATGACACATAAGTACGTAGCCTTAAAACACTTACATACATAAGCACTGTAAACAATTATAATAAAAAGATTATATATTGATCATTTTCACTCTCAACAATTGATTTAGTCATATTATTATTTATTTAATGTTATGACTGTACAAATATACTTGAGAAATTGAGTAATTAATTAATAATTAATAACTTAGTTAATACGAATTTTTTTTTATACTATATATAAACCTGTGTTCAAGTGTTCAAGTTCATATTCCATAATGCATATATATAAATATTAAATATACATATTACACTTGTTTTATCCTTCTAATTTCATTTTTTCATGACAAGGGGTATAGAGACGATCTTATACAATGTGGTTTATTTTAAACTTTATTTTACATGCCTCTCTGTGACTACTCAACTTTAGAGACACGTTCGTGATCTCCCCACCATTATTAAGGTTTATTTTGAATTAAAACTATAAAATTATAATAATTAATAATAAAACTAAAATTTGCATAAATACTAAATATTAGTTACACACATAATATTATAGTCTTCATACGAATTGCAAATATTGTCTTTTTTACTATTTTGGTTTTATTGGCACTTATATGTTTTACTTACTGCCACAAAAATAACATATAGGTAAATAGTTATTAGTGTAAATGTGCGATTGCCAATGGGCCCAACATAATATACCATCGTGTGAGGAGTCTCAATATAAATATCAACAATAGTGGCGATTACAGTACAGAATAATATATGGTTAGGTTAGGTTTATAATGTGTAATAAATATAGTAAAATGATTTTAAAAATATCAATTTTGTTTTTTTTTTTTAATTTTGACAATTTATAAAATTAAGTTGACAAACATGATACAATAAAACAATCATCATTTTCTAGTGTTTATTAAATTATGTATTCTTCTTTATATGTTAATTTACATGCTATTGATTCCATACAAGTATTTTTAAAAACAATTTTTTAAATCAAATGTACGAATATATATGGAAAAAATGAATATAATTTTAAAGTACCAGCTTTTAACACGCTTAAAAATCCTTAATTTGTGGTTTCATCATTACCCTAGTCACTTAATTGCGTATCGTAAGGAGCGATGACCTACGAAAAATAGTATATCCAACTTCGATTCTTGTTTTTGACTATCTAAATAAAATTATCATTCATTCTCTGTTCACCAGTTGTATAAGGTTTATTTGTCTAATGAATATCAATAAATTATCTGCACAAACTACGCATTTGGGGTATTAAAAATAACAAAATATAAGGCATTATACAGGTACCTACACCTAATATGCCCAGCCAGAGAACAGGCAGTCGCTCATGGACGAAAATTGAATCTCCTTTGCATCTAGCGGAATTATTAACTATATCAACAACATAGCCAATTAAAATTTATCAAACAATTGTTTAAATAAAAAATACTTCAATGATGTATACTACATTGAATCGAAAATTATATTTTTCTAAGTATTTCAGCTGTAATAAATATATTTTATTCTAAAATAACTATGTGGTATGTCAGAATCTAATAAGCTCTCTTAGAGTATAGATCATTTATAAGATTTTCTTCGATAATATCCTAAAATAATACGACGAATAACAGATTTATCGGTATTTGTTAGTGTACAGATTATTTTTAATCACATTGTTTCATCATTAATATAAACAAATTGCAATGAATACATAATACATTATCGTGTACAGTGTGACCAAAATAATAATCAACTATTTTTGGAATTATTTTTTTGAATAAGCTGAATTAAATACTCAGACTTGTATCGTGCACACAGATATATTGAACAAACTATTATGAAGTTAATTTTCAACAATTCAAAAAAACAGAGTTCAATATGTCCACAAAATAAATCAATAAGAACATATCGGTTGAGATAATTAAAACAAAGATTTTATTTAGACATTATATATGACATGATGGAATTTTTCATTTTAAATTAACTAAAATAATACAGTTAGTTGGTTACTGGCACACCAGCAGTTGTCGAATTATCGATACCACATTCGTTTGTGCCTCGTTGAATTTTGAAAAGACCATTATCACCCCAATCTGCGTTCCATGAGTTGACCATCAACCAGTATGGAACTCCGTATTCTTCACCCCAACCGATCAATTTAGCGGCATGTCCTCCCAAGTATGTAGCGTTTTCCGATTTCACATAAACACCTTTAAAACGTGAAATTTCGGTTAGAAAT